GTTCTTAGGGCCAGGTGAGCAAACAAGGGCAAGCACATGAGAAACCGTAGTGAGACACACACGTCACAGAGAGCGGGATAAAATCCCATGTTAACTCAGGGGCCTGATAGATCAGTAAAAATTTTGGAGTCCCCTGGCATAAAAGATGCCGGGACATCCCCTCCAGAATAAAAGCTAAATTATTGCATCTGCCGCTCCCGCCATTCAGGAGGAAGCACCGTGGCTGGCAGATCTCTTGGGGTTTGGGAAACAGCATCTTCCACACCTGGGAATACTGCTCCATCCTTGTTACTGGATAACATAGAAAGCTGCCAGCTTTTATAGAGGAGCAGAGCAGGAAAGAGCTCAGCAGCAGATCCAGAGCTCAGCACAAGTGGTTCTGCTTTGTGGGCCGTAATAGCTGGCCCGCAGAACCTGTGGTAACTTGAAGGCAGATGTCTGTGCTCTGGGTGAATGGTTTGGGGATGACAATGTGCATTGTGTGTACCATTGTTGCCCCTGATTGATGTGTTTTGAAATTCTGTTGTAATTTTTCTCCTCCTCCTCCTTCTTCTTCCTCTTTCTTCTTCTCGCTTCTTTCTTCTTCCTTCTCCTCCTCCTCCTCCTCCTTCTTCCTCTTCTCATCCTTGAAATAAAATTTGGAGGAAAAAAAGAACCTGTGGTACTTAAGGTATCCATGGTGGAAAAAGATGCCATTGGAGTTTATGACAAGGCCCAGTAGGAGACTCACAAGGTAAACCCCTGGGGTTCTGGGGCAGGGCCATGCCATCTGTAGCTGAGATTGTATACTTCCTGAAGAACGCTCCCAATTTGTCTGGTGGAGACAGGTCACCTGACCAGGCACCACCAAGTTGACCATGTGGCCGAAGCTGCTCATCATGAGCTGGAGTCTACCAGATTCACCAGGTCACACAGGGCAGACTAAGAAGGAGTAATTCATAAGGCAGAACTGGCACAGCAGGGGTTGAGCACAGCAGGAGCAGGTGACCCACATCTCTCTGCATCTACCACCTGTGCACCAGTGCCTCTGCCTTGTTTACGGCTGCCCACGAAGCGCCTTATCTCCAGCTGATGGAGAGGGAAATAAACTAAGCGTTGTCCACAGATGGATCAGCTCAGTATACATGTAAGCAAAACAAAAATAGGCCATGGCTATGATGCAGCTCACACAGCACTGAGAAGACAGCAGCGGGGGAAATCCTTCACATAGCAGTGAGTCGGACAGCGCACTGTCATCCACTTTAATGGAAAGAGAATAGACACAGTTAGATTACTCATGGATCTTGTGGGCAGCAGAGGATGGCTTGGCTGGTTGGTAAGGGGTCTGGAAGACGTAAGCCTGAAAAGTTGGGAGTAAGGAGGACTGGGGTAAAGGCACAGGAAAGGGCCCATGGGAATGGCCGCCAAGTGCGAAGAACTTTGTTTTCTGGTAATACCCACCTAAGAGCATAAACCATGAGAGGAGCACTGAACAGCCTTGCAGTGCGCTCAGCATCAGCCATCTCTATCTGAGGCCACCCCAGAGTGACACAGTGGGTGCATAAACCATAACTGTGATGACATGGAGAGAAGGCGTGTATGGCTCCAATAGCATTGTGTCTTAGTCCACTTTCTGTTGCTGTAACAAAACAATGCAACAGGTAATATGGAAAGAATAGTTTGCTTTGTGTGGTGCACATTTGTAATCCCAGCTACTAGGAAGCCTGAGGCAGAAGGACCACAAAGTCAAGGCTAGCCTGGGTGACTGATCTCAAAGTAAAGGGCTAGCAATTTAGTTAGTGCCTGTGTTTGATCACTACTACCACAAAGAAAATAAAAACAAACAAACATAAACAACAGTTTACCTGCTCATGGTTCTTGAGGCTGGGAAATCCATGAACATGTTGCCAGAATCTGCCTGGGCCTAGAAGGCGTCACGTGGCAAAACAGAGCAAGTGTGCTAGCTTGGGTCTCTCTTCCTCTGCTTAAAAATTCACTAAGACAGGGGCTGGGGATTTAGCTCAGCGGCATAAGCACCTGCCTTGCAAGCAGGCGGTCGTGAGTTCGATCCCTGGTACCGATAAAAATGAAAAAGACAAAATATATATATAAAAAAAATTGACTAAGACAACCATGGGGCCAGGCCCCATGACCTCACCTGATCCTAATTGTCTCCCTGTGATGGTTTGTGTCACAGTGATGGAAAGTTGGTGACATGGTTGGAAAGGCCCCACCTCCACATACCATCAACTGATGAATTCAGGGATTAAATTTTGAACATATGAACTTTTGGGAAACACATTCAAACCATGGCACGTGGGCTCTCCAACAGGCAGAAGACATGAGACCAGAAACCAGCTCTGTAAAGCAGGAGTGGCCTCAGTCTCACGCTCCTAGGGACCTCTGTGGGCATTTGTGTTTCCTGTCCCTACAGCTCTGGGCTCTGTTCAAAAGGGGGAACTCTGCCACTGGGTAAAATGTCAAGATGGCTATGGAACTTCTAGCTGTCACTCCCTGGGCATTTTGAACTCCTTGGGTCAAGGGACCAGCAGGCAAGAGGAGCAGTTGCTATTCTTTCTGACCACCAGGCTGCTGTTCAGCGGTTGTATCTTTGGTACCCAGCTTCTCCACTTCAAGATCTCTTGCCACTCACTGTGCTTACAAAATAAGCAGAGAAGTGTAGAGGCCATGGCCTGGGCAGGGTATGGTGACTATAGCATCAGACCCCTCAGGGTGGAGGGTCTCCATACCATGCCTCGTGTAAACCACTGAGAGCAGAAGAGGTGCAAGTGGAGGCAATCCAGAATGAATAGAACGGGGAGATGGTGAGCATCACTGTGGCCTCAAGAGCAGTCCACATGGTGGAGGCTGAAGTTTGACTCACTACCTTCCCCCTGTAAGTTTCTCACAGGAAAAGAAACCCAGCAGAATATAAACCATGAAGTAGAGCTGAAAGTTGTACCTGTAACCGCAGCTACTCAGAAGGCTGAAGCAGGGGATCATGATTTTGAGGTCAGCCTGGGCAAAATAGCGAGAGCCTGTTGGAAGGCAGGGTTGAAGAGAGGGAGGGATGGAAGGAAAGGTAAGGAGGAGGGAGGGGAGAGGAAGTGAGTGGCACCAGGTGTGAGATGTAGTGAGTGCCGTCCTGTTCTGCAGACCCTGTTGGCCTCTACGAGATCCCTCCTGGTAATCGCCTTCAAGGCAGAGTCAGCTCACCCACAAACACAGCCCTCTCCTGGGATAGGTTTTAAAAGCCTGGCTCCATAGCCCCAACTCAGGCCAATGCTGAAGGGCTACGCCAGCTTCAGAGCTCCCCAGGGTGGCTGAGGTCTTTGTATTCCACTGCAACCCACTTAGCTCTCTGAATAATTCTTCCCTGCCCCCTTCCCAAGAATAATCCCTAATAAAGTTCCACAGGCTAACTTCCATCTCTGAGTCTACTTTCCAGGAGACAGGACCTGTAGCAGCTTAGGGGTCAGCAGACTTTTCAAATGAGACTGAAAGTAAGTATTTTAGGGTTTTTGACCCACAGGGTCCCTGTTACAACTGTTCTACCTTGTAGTACAAATACAGTCATGGATGACATATAAATGAATGAATGAATGTGGCTGTGTGCCAATAAAACTTTATTTATAAAAACAGATCAGATTTAGTGTGTGGGTCTTAGTTTGCTAACCTGACCTCTAAAGAATCTTTTTTCAGGTGCACAAAGAAAGCATTACAAATATTTTACTGCAATACAGTGTGTAACAGCAAAATTTGAGGAACAACCTAAATGTACACTAGAAAAAGAACAGTTAAATAACCAGAGTCCATCCAGATTTTTGAACACTGTGCATGGATAAAAGAGATGTGTTTAAATCACTGCCTAAGAAATATAATGCAAGCCAGGTGTGGTGGCTCACACCTGTAATCCCAGCACTTGGGAGGCTGAGGCAGGAGGATCATTGCAAGGTTGAGACCAGTTTGGGCTACAAAGTGAGCCCAAGACCAGGCTGAACTGCATAGCGATATCCTGTCTCAAAAAAATAACAAAACGAAACAAAAAACCCCCCAAAGAAATACAATGCAAATCACATGTGCAGTTTTGAGCCCAATGCCCAAAATATTATTGGTACAACGTGACTCAATATAAAAATCATTAATGAATTATTTTACATCATTTTTTGTACCAAGTCTCTGCAATGCGGCATCTGTTTTACTCTTGAAGGCAATTACAGTTTGGGCTCTGCATTTTCAAGTGCTCTTAGCCACCTGTCCCCAGCGTTTGCTGTGTCACTGTGCACCTCAGATCCAGAAGTAAAGACACAGAGACACAACTGAGACAGAATGTGAAGTCAGCAAAAGGAGTTTGAGACAGGAGAGAAGGATTCAGTGCTCTCCAAGAGATATAACATGTATTTTTTTGTTTGTTGATTTTTTCCCCTTCACTGAGGATTTAACCCTGGGCCTCTGCACTGAGTCACTTGCTCAGCTCTTTAATTTACATTTTCACACAAGGTTTCAATGGCTCCACCAATTTTTATTTTTCCTCTGAGTACCACATATTTCTTGCCACCAGCCTGGATATGTTAGATGCCCTTCGGCTGCTCTGGGAGATACAGTATTTGCCTTGGCTGCTGTGAACTTTAGTCTCAGACCCATCCTAGAGGTCTCCAGCCGCAGCCTCTTTGAATGACTCCTACCCTCTGCAGCCCTCTTCAATAAGCTCCCTGAGGGGCCCCTGCCCAGTCCACAACCACACAAAGTCTGACACTGCACACACACGAGCCTGCCTGTTTCCTGCATAAGCAACCTCCGCACACCCCTAATAGGGACAGTCCCCTCATGCTGTGGCGCGAGTCCTTTAGAGACCCTTTTGGCCTTTAGAGACCCTTCGGCTGACATGGTCTGGCTGATTTCTATCTCGAGAGAGCCTGCTGAGCAGGTGCATTAAGAGCAGGTAACACTGAAGGCTCCTTGCACCCAAAGCAGCCAGCACCCGGGCCAGTACCCAGGAGCTGTCCGGTAGCACGGAACAATGAAGAGCAGAGAATTGCAAGTGGCTGCCATCTCTGGTGGCCCACAGAGTTCCCAAGACCTGTCAGTAGTTGCTTGCTCTGAGCAGCTGCTGGTATTCAAAGCCATTAACACTCACAGAGCTCCCCTGTGCCAATTCAGGATTCCTATACAAATTAATGAGAATCGTCAGCTGATAACCGGTAACATCTCTGAAGCTTGCACTGGAACCTCTTTGTAGAAGCTATCAGCCGACTTGAGAACCAGCTCACAGCCGTGCATGGTGGCCCAGGCCTGTGAGCCTAGCACATGGGAGGCTGAGGCAGGAGGACCACTGTGAGTTCAAGGCCAGCCTAGACTACATAGTGAGACCAGGCTAGCCAGTAATAGTTGCAGTACCACATGTGCAGTATGAACAATTTGTGTAAAAAACAAAAACAAAAATTACTATTTCAGTAGGACTATATCTGGGGAAAATGATGTATATAAGAACACGCTCAATTTTAAGAGGAGCTTTAAGTGGGGGAGACATGGATTTGTAGTTAGGAAGGATTTTCTCTTTACTTGATTTTTTGAAACAAAATTTTAATTCTGGAATAATCTTAGACTTAAAAATAAAAGGTAGGGGGCCTGGGGATAGAGATCAGTGTCACAGTACCTGCCTGACAAGAGGGAGGTCCTGCGTTCAGCTTCAAGTACCCACGCATATACAAAAAGTAGCAAAGGTGGTACCCAGTTCCTATTTGCCCTCACCCGCTGTTGTTTCCACTACTGTTAACATCTTACATTAACAGGGACAATCGTCAAAATCAGCTGCACCCCAGGCTTCATGCAGACTGCACTAAATGTCCCCTCATGTTCTTTCTCTGTCACAGGCCTTAGTGCAGGACATCTAGGCCATCATGTCTGACCTGCCTTCTTTGTACTGAGGCCGTTTCTCCATTTGTCCTTCTTTGTTGGGACCGAACATCTCGAGAGGTACACTCAGGTCCTCAGTACGGGTTTGTCTGATGCTTTCCTCTTGACTACACAAGGACCACAGGTGTGGGACAAGCTCCCCACAGAGGCGAGGTGTCCTCATCACAGCCCACCAGGGCACATGGTGCCATGGGACTTGCAGCTGGTGAAGGAGCTTTGAGTACTTCGTGAGGAGCATCCTGCAGGCGTGAGGTCATTGTCCTGCCCCAGAGGTGTGTCACTCCATCTGGAAAGACTGGGAGAGGATCCGGAAGGGCGAGGAGTCTGCTCATCCTATTCAGAAGTCTTCTCTGAGAAGGATTTGTCCCTTTGCTGTCACTTATTTAGTTTATTTAAATCAGTATGGACTCATGCATATTTACTTTACACACTGGATTGTATCTAGTCTGCATGTTGTTTTGCAGTGAAGATAAACTCACACCAAATGCATTTTTTAATGTGGGAAACAAAGCACTACTCTAGCTGGGGATTTAGCTCAGCGGCATAAGCACCTACCCAGCAAGCGCCAGGTTATGAGTTTGATTCCCCAGCACCAAAAAAACAAAACAAAACAAACAAAAAACCCAAATCACTACACTGTGTGAGAAACAAGTTCTATCGCAGGCAGCATCTCTCCTCTACAGCTCTCATGACTGACCACGGCAGGATCCTTTAGGAGCTAGCAACTTCAGACAAGTCCTTTTGACCTTCCTTCTTATTTCCCGTCTAAAGGTGAAATCATCTCAAGGGGAAGAATGGATGGTGTTTGTTTCTACGTGTCTAAGTATTCTGATGCCTACTAAGAGACCCCAAGTCTTTAATGGTTCTCTTCTTTTGCTGATAACAGGAAATGAACTCAGAGCTAACAACCCTTGAGAAGAGCCCGTAATCAATATTTATACCCTCTCTCACAACCCCAAATAGTTCTTCTCTGAGCCTGCACTCCTCCAAGTGGGATTTAGTTCTCCTCCTGTGACTGAAGCCTGACCTGAGGACCCCTCCGGATCCTGCCCCACCACACATGTGCTGGCTTTTCAACTTCATCCTCCAGCCTCTCCCACCTGCCCGCCACAGATATCCCATCACCCTCGTGTGTGCTGACTGCGCGCTGGCATGTGTTGGTGTTCTTAACTTCCGTGCCCTGGAATGGGACCAGATGTGGAGATGAGGTCTTTTAAGAGGTAATGACAGCCACTTGAAGCCACGTGGGTGGGTCCTAATCCAATCTGCGGTGTCCTCATAAGGAGATCAGGACGCAGACACACAGAGCTCACCTGAGTACATACCAAGAATATGACCATCTGCAAGCTAGTGAGAAAGATCTCAGGAGAAGCCAAACCCACTGACATCTTGATCTTGGAGTTCAGAACTGCCAGAAAAGAAATTCCCATTGTTTAAGCCACACAGTCAGGGGCACTTTGTTTCGGCTGCCCTGGGTGAAAGGAACACACATTCCCAGGAGTGAAATCACTTACTGAACCCTCCCTCCTCTGTGACAGGCTTGGTGATGAATGAGATAGGGGCCCAGGGCCAATGGGGGCCGTAGCAATCTGACATGAGGGGACCAGGAGGCCTGGCTTCCCTGTGCCCAGGAGGCCCTGGGCTACAGGAGACCAGGAAGGGCCTGGCGGAGATGTTGGCTTCTGAGTTGTGTGTTAAGGATTTGCCATGTGTGACCTTTCAGGTACCAAGAAAGATGCATGGAAATGTGCAAACCAGGCAGACGGCAAAGAAAGGGGTCAGTAGCAGGGTAAGTGCAGGAAGAGGAAGAACGGCCTGCAATGAGCCTGGGAACAAGGCGGGGGCACCAGGATCCTGGCCGGGGGCTTTGTACTTGGAGCACTTTAAAAAGTGTGAGGGGAGGAAACTCCTACGAGAAAAACCTGAGCCCCTGGTGCCCTGTGTGGGCAGCAGTACAAGCACCTCAGCACTTTCTCTGTTTCCCTTTCCAGCTTCGTGTGGATTTCTCCAGCTCAGGAGACCACTTCTGTGGGCCCAGCAGCACCCCGCACCCCTGAGAGGCTCAATACACAGGCACTGAATGAGTGAATTGGAAGACCAGCCGGGCAGCTGCTCCTCGGCCAAAGACAAATACCTAGAATGTATAAGGGACTGAAAAAATAATCAGACTGCCCAAAATAAAAGATCTAATAAAAAAATGGGCAAGAGAAACAAACAGTTGCCTCTCAGAAGTACAAATGGCCAACAAGCATATGAAGAAATGCTTAGCATCGCTAAGCTTTACAGAAATGAGATTAAAACAACCCTGGAACTTCATTTTACTACAGGAAGCTTGGCTCTCATCAAGAAATCAAACAATAACAAGTACTGGAGAGGCTGTGGGGAAAAGGAACTCTTCTACTATGTTGGTGGGAGTATATGTTAGTACAAGTACCATGGAATTCAGTATGGAGATTTTTCAAAAAACTAAAACTACAAATTCCACTTGACCTAATCATTCTCTTCTAGGTATCTTTCCAAAAGAGTTAAAGACACCCTATTACTGTGACATATTCACATCCACATTTATAGCAGCACAATTAATAACAACTAGCTATTAGAAGCAGCCTAAATGTCCATCCACAGATGAACAGATAATGAAAAGTGGTATTCACACAGTGGAGTACTACTGTGACAGGAAGAAGGATAATCTTGAGTCCTTTGTAGGAAAATGGATGCTCTTGGAGACCACAATGTTTAGTGAAAGAAATCAGACACACAAGCTTAAATATCACATGATTTCTCTTACATGAGAAACCCAACATGTAAATAAAGAGCAAAATTAAAGATAGCTAATAGGAAGTGGGAGGTAGATCTTTCTCAGATACGAAGCAGATTTGGGAGGTGGAAGGAGGGGTGAGGAAGGAAGGGGAAAAGGGATCCAACAGGGATTAGTGTGTGTCGTGTACATGTACCAACTGCACACAGGAAGGCAAACATGCAGTCCAGCAAACATCCACCAATCAGAACTAAAAAACCAGGGCAGGTAGGACAGGGCCAAGCTGTCCCTCACAAATGTCCCAGGGGATGTAGACAGCAGGGCTTCCAAGGACGTCGTCTGGCTGAAAATGCACAGTGTGGGCAGGGTCACTTCGGAGAGAAGCAGCCTACATGGCTGTGGCCCCGTGACTTGAGCCAGCCCACCAGGGGAGAGGTGTCCCACATTGTCACAGGGGCTTCTGGTTGGTACTTGATCCCATCAGATAATGTTATTTTTCAAAGGAACTGGGGACGGGGATCCTGGGGTCAAGGAGGGTCAAAATGATCCAAACCTCAGCCACTATGGTGAGCTCCCCACTCACTGCAGACTGGGCAGGGACCTCTTCCCCTATGACACCCTAAGTCTCACTGCTTCCTCCCAGCAGAACTCTGCTCCTCAACCTCCCCCTGCCCTGTGCCAGAGTCTCTGACTTGGTCTACTCAGGGCACTCTTGACCCTGCAATCCATTCTCTGACACACTGGAGGCTTTTCTCTCCCCAAGACATTTTCCCCCCTGCACTGAGTGCATCCTCCTGTGAGCCTGAGGGGCAGTGCGGGCCAAGGCTGGGCACACCTGCACTATACAGGGTGCACACGTAATGAACTCACGGCTCTTGCAGTCAGGTGTCCTGGCTCTATGCCGAGAGGCGCCAGATGGTGTGGAGCCGGGGTGGGCACAACTTTTATTAGGCTGAGTCGCTTTGGCTGGGAATGGGATTAGTATCAGTGCAGGCCTGGCAAGTGGAAAAGGTGAAGCCCTGCTAGTTACATTTGGATTTTGCTTCTTTGGTGCAATCCAGAGTCCCCGCTGCTGGGTTAGCTCAGCTCATGGCTCAGTGCTGGCCCAAGAGGCCCAAAGGTGGGCTGGGGAGGGCAGTACAGAAAGAAGCCTTGTCAGTCCCTCTCCCCCTTGACTTCCAGGGGCCCGCTGAACCCTGCACCCAGCCTTACCACCTGGGTAAAAGCCTTCCCTGGCCTCGCTGCCCTGGCGTGAAACCAAACCCTTCACAGTGCTGCGGCAGGAGATGTGACGATGGTGGACAGTGGACCCCCACAGAGCACAGCAGGACACCACAGCTGAATGACTTGCCCAGGTCACTCCGCCAAGGGGCTGCAGAGCAAGCTCCAGCCCAGCCTGTGGGGTTCATGGTTGGGTTTCCTGGCCTCTCTGCAAAGCTGCAGTGCCTGGCCTGTCTCTGGCTGCAGGTATTTGCCCTGTGAAGCCCTCTGCCCTGGCTCAGAAGTACCACTTGCCTTGACCTCTGTCACTCCTGTTATGCTGAGGAGCTTTGGGGAGGAATCCAAGAAGCAGAGTTCTGAAAAGTCCTTTGCGGTGATGTGTGTGGAGCGGGTAAAGCTAACCCTGCCTTCACTAGCTCACTTGTGAAACAGCTTTAATTTATGAGTAAGGAAGTGCCCACAGATGGCTGAGGAAGAGATCACAAAAAGGTGTGTAGTCCAAAGTAAGTCTCCTGCCTTTCTCTGTGCTGCTGTGAGCTCCTTGCTCTGTAGGTATCAGTGAACATTTCCTTTACATCCGGCAAGCAGAGTCCACGAGTTGCTATTATTACCATCTCATTCGGCCCTCGAGGCTGCCCTTTGAGGGATTTTTGGCTTCTGCTTTTTGGAGACCGTGTCTTGTTAGGTAGTGTAAGCTGGCCTTGAAATCACTATGTAACCTAAGTTGGTCTCCAACTTGCAGAGGTCTCCCTGCCTCTGCTCCCCAGTGCTGGGATTAGAAGTGTGTGCCATCTCACCTGGCCTTCTTTTGAGATATCATTATTCTTGTGTTGTGTGTCAGGAGACTCAGAAACAGGCCAGATCACACAGCTTTGGCTGTGCACTGGGGTTTAGCCTGAGTTGGGCCTAGCTCTAAAGCCCAAGTGTTGCTGGGCAAGCATGTCTATAAGCCCAGCACTCCAAAAGCCGAGGCAGGAGGGTCATCATGAGTTCAAGGCCAGCCTAGGCTACATCATGAGCTCTGTCTCAAAAAACAGAACAAAAGCCCAGATGTTGAGGGCCTCCCTGCCACCTCAAAAAGAACCAGGTGAGGAGCAGGTATGGTGCAATTGGCTGGACTTCATCACTGACAGACTTCCACACCGGTCTGAAAGGGAAGAATTCAAATGTGGGCCTCAGTAGTGTGACAAATGACCTTTGAGACTTTATGACCCTGACTCCTGCTGGCCATTGGCTCCTGCTGTTTGCACATGTGCACCTGTGTGACCTCGGCTTGCTGTGGTCAGCTGTGCTGGTGGGTCCAGCTGGGGATCACATCTTTGTGACCATGACTCAGCACTCCTCGGGCCTCAGCTTGGCCTCTCTGGGCCTATGCCTGTGAAATGGGAATGATTCTACTAATTCAAAAGGCTCGGGCACTACAGATGAGGTCACGTGGGTTGGTGGTCAGCAACAAACCCCATGCAGGTGCTGTGACTTTTCAACAATAAAAGAAACTTGGACTGAAGCTGCCGCTACTGGCTGAGTGATCCTAGACAGGTTCCTCAGCATCGCCACTGTCCACATCTCTGTGGAGACATCTTCCCAGCTGTAGTCCAAGGGCCTCCGGGCATTGTTGGGAGGAGTAAATGGCATAAGGAGAATGATAAGTATATCCACACTTAGCGTACGCTGCTGAGGTGAAGATCCTCTTATTGGTACCCAGTGGTGCCTGCCCTCCAGGGGTCCCTGAGCCCAGGGAAGGATGGAGTACACGGCTCTTCCCTCGAACCATGGCTGTGGTGTGGTGGCCTCCAGGGAGCCACTGTTTCCCTTGCAGGGGACCCTTGGCCTCGTGGCCCCATCTTGCTGTGTCTCAGTCCTGGGGACCAGCTCCTCCTTCTGTCTGTGTGAACCCCAGACAGGTGGCCCCCGAGGTGGTTCGACCAGCAGCTGCATTAGGGTTTATCTCCCTGGGCTGTTCCCAGCAGAGGTGGACGGGCTGTGTGTATCATGGTCATCTCATAAGCTGCTTCCAGGCCAGATGGAACCAGGAACCCGCTAGATTTGCCACATGACCCTGAGAGGGAGCCACAGGTCCTGTCACAGGTCCTGGGGCCTCAAGCATGGGCTTCTCACATATGAGGAAACTGAGGGCAGGCACAGGAAGATACATTCAAAGCTCCTGCTGGGAAAATGGGCCCGGTGCAGAATCTAACGTGCTGTCCAGAAAGTGCATTTTACTATCCATGAGGTGTGATTAGAACCTTTTTTTGGTACCAGGGATCAAAGTCATGACCTCGCACGTGCCAGCCACTGAGCTAAATCCCTGGCCCTGAAACAGCTTCCATTATATAGTGAAAATGTTTACTCTAGAACATATTCTGAAACTTAGATCCAGAGCAACACACTGGACTTCCATGGTCAAAGGCCATACTCTGTGCCCACAAGAACAACAGGAGACTTACACTGGCCCACAAATGCAAAAGGGGAGCTGTGAAAGATAGTCTGGGACCCAGAGTCCCCTCTGCATAGACAAGAGCTCCCCATGATTCCCCCAAGAGCTGCCATACCTGCAGTCACCCAGGATGGCTTCCTGCACACCCTCACTGCCTCAGCCTCCTTCCTCCCGGAGGCACTGAGAGGTCCTACAGCTGCCACTATGCCTGCCATGGGAACAGAGGCAGGGCCAAAGGGGCCATTTCCTGTGCCCTCACTTCCTGTCTCTTGATTTCCTGCCCTTGAAGAGTCTGATCTACCTGAGCCCCACTCGTGGACTGAAAGCTCATTGGCTGTGAGTCCTTGGTCAAGCCTCCTGCCCTCTCCGGACCTGACCAATCTCAGTGATGGCAGAAAAGTGACAATGTTCTCTTATCAAGGTGATCCAACAATGTATATGCAATATGTGGAACACAGTAGCTGCTCAGTGAACAACAGTATTTTATTATTATTATTATTATTATTATTATTATTATTGTGCTTTTTGGGACTGGGTTCCAGGAACAGAAGCAAAGCTTTGAGACAAGTTGCTTATTTGACAGATGACCGGAGGATTCTTCACAGAGATGATACAGGGAAGGGAGAGACCAGCAGAGGGTGCATCATGGAGCAGGTTCCTGGTGTACCCAGCCAAGCTTAGTTCCACTGACGAATTCTGGGTGATCCTGTAGAACGTGCCCCAGAGTTGTCCCCAGAGAGGGGTGAGGGAGCTGGGGTCTGTATCCCCCTTCAATGGCTGGGATCGCTTTGGGGAATGGACATTAGCTCCTGGTGACTTTTCTGCATGCATGCCAGGCCTGGTACTTTGTGACCAGAGGAAGACCTCAGACAGAGTGAGACCTCAGGAGAGCCTGGTGCTTGGAAGCTTTCACGTTGGCGTACACAGAAATGCTGCACCCTGAGGGACGCGGGGGCCCCCCAGCCTCAGCTGCCAATGCCTTGCAGTGTCACTGAAGCGCCTGTTCAGGTGGGGCAGGGTGCAGAGGAAGCCACAGCTGTCTGGCTTACTTCAGGGGTCCCTT